AACAGTATTTTCCAATCTCCTTTTCAATGACAATTTAGGCTTGAAAGATTGACAATTCCAGTGTCTATACTTGGCATAACTTACATTTTTCTCTACCTGAATAATTCATTTGGCGGGGGGGGGCTGCTTTGATTGTCTGGATTTATTTGGATAGGGCAGTGTTATTAGGGCATTTATTTAACTTTAGTGGGGAGATCTTCAGGCTCAATTTCCAATCTATAAATGATGTTATTAAACATTGTCACATTAACTACACAATTAAAAACACACATGAGAGAGAAAATTTAAAGTCTTTTTTATAATTTATATAAATATGATTCTCTTTTAATGTCAAACTTATTTCATTAACAAAACTCACATTGTTTACATGCAAACTTGACTCTACAAGTAAATGAGAACGCCATGTTCCAGAAATTCAGACAAAATTTACATCAATGCCAATTTTTCCCAGTTTGTTTTCCTTAGAGAAATATGGCTGTCACTACATTGAGAAGTCTGCACACTCCTTCCCCCCCCTTTTTAAGGGTAGAAAATTTAATTTTGTTGAAATGATTTCAGACATTCTTCTGTTGTATAACAATTCTACAATGTGCATGTACACACACACACACATATATATATATATATATATATATATCTTGTCTCAAATCAAAGAATAGAGAGCTAATTGTTTCAATGACATTAGTGTTCTTGAAACTGGCTGTCTTCAAAACCTGAGCAAGGTCAGAGGCATGACCATTGTCTGAAAACTCTTGGACCATTTGTGGCCATGTCAGCAAATTGCTTACAGAATATATATGCCATGGCAGGTATTAAACACTTGAACTGATTTAGTTGTTGGATATGGATACATTGAAATTGACAGTAGACTTCATTACATATACAGAGAGTTTAGTTACTCAATTTGAACATTTGTCAAGTTACCCAGCAATTTCCCGTCTTGCCAAACATCCCTTGAATTTATTTCAGGGAATAAAGAAACTTGTTTTCTGTTAATATTTTTAGTTGAAGAAGCAACTTCACACCTTAACATCTCTAAGCCTACCAGTAGCACCTCTTTTTGTCCATGCACACAGTTTGAAATGAAGATCTAGAAATATACACAAACTGAACCAAACTGGTCATCAATCATTTAATTTGCCCATCAATCAAGAATACTACAAATTTATTAAATATATAAACTGGAGTAGACAAGAATAGATATTTGTTAGATGAAACCAACTTTAGTATGTGGCCACATTCATGGCGTGCCCAATTACAATAAGATGCATTATGAAAAATAAAAGACTTGCTCATAGTCTAGGTATCCGTTGTTTGGCAAAACTCAAGCTGCCAGTTAATGAAACATTCCAACCAGAAAAGGCATGATAAGCTGTTGTTAAATGCATTCATGCACTACATAATAATATAAAATAAAATGATAATGTTAGCTATTAATACTAGTAACCAATATATATAAAATTACATAGTTAATGTATATCAAATTTAGTAGATTTTCTAATAAAGTTCTCAATATTAAACTAGAGCAATAATTATTATTAACTTAGATATAATAATTTTCAATGCTTACCGAAAACTGACAGTTTTGTAATTTTTCAATCACTCATCATTCTTGTTGACAGTTCCAATCAGTGATTGAAAAATTACAAAATAAGTTGGTCTTAGATATAATAATGCTCAGTATTTATCAAAGTATTTATCAAAGTTTTTATATATATATATATATATATATATATATATACACACACAACAAGGATATTAAAAAGAATGTACATTAAAATAGTGATTGTGGGAAGTGGTCAAACTGAACTTTTCAACTCTTCCCGTTCTGCACACATTACGGGAATCAAAATGTTAGTCAAACAATTGTTTCCTTACAACTATGCATCACTTGATCAAAACATTTCATTTTATGATCAGAATCAAAGAATTAGAATAAAATACGTGTGATGGAAGGGAGCTAGACAGATATTAGGATTGCAATTTGCTTACAAATAAAAGAGATTAGAAATGAGGATTTTTTTTTCTCGTTATACTGGAACAATTTTTAATAATTTGAATGTAACTCAACCCTGGTGACCAAGCAAAAATTCATTTTTACATTTTGTAGTAAAAACGTAAAAAGATAATTTTTAGGATGTTAAAAAACAATTAGAGAAAGAAACAAAATTTAAAAGAAAAAATAAAGACCTTGTTTTCAATTACAAGTGTTTGAATTTGATGACACTGAATGGACTGGGAACAAAAAGTTTTTTTTTTTTTTTCCCAAATAAAATACACACAATTAAAAAGGTTAAATAATTGAGAAATTGTAGTTTTATGAGGACAAAGAGAGTGATAAACCTCACCCCATAAATATCAGTAAGGAGAGGGATTTAGGCAGTATTAAAAAATATTCAAAGTGTGTGGGTGTGTGAGAGAGTGAAAGAGAAAAAATTACATACATACATTTTTGAATATAGCATTGATGTTTGAGTTCTTTTCAGAGAGATAGAGAGAGAGAAAAAATTAGCAGGGCCCAGGAAAACATTTCTGAAAACACAATGATCACACTAAAAGGCTGGTATACTTTGTATTCTATTTTTAAAGAGCCTTTCATCAGAAAATATGCATTACAATTCATTTCAATAAAGTCTCCACTCTTCCATAAAGACAAAAATCAAAAACTATATTCAAATGTAACAAAATACCTGACCATAAACACAAACTTCAGTGCTACAGTTGGCCTGGCAGATAAGTGAAAAAGAAATGGAATGATAATTTACAGCCAACCTGTAAAAAATAAATATATTTACATACACGTCTCACGTACAGAAAATATACAAATTATGTTCCGGGGGATTTATCACTGATTGAGTTATGTCCCTTGTACTTAATTATGTTAGTAAAAAGCAAATATAACTTAATACAAGGTGGTGGTGGGGTGCCTAAAAGTTCTCAGCCTGATCAAGAAGCCATTAACAAAATAGATAAATAAAAAAAAAAAAAAAAAAAAAAAAAAAAAAAATAAGAGAACATTGGTCATTTGGTTGGGTCAAGAACTTTCATCCCCACCCAATGTTTTTCCTTTTTATTAATTATAAATAATTTCCCTATAAAATTTGACCTATAAGCAATAACTATTAAAAATAACCAAATATACTGTACTAAATGCATTAGTATTATGCATAGGTGTTCAGACCTGTACAATATAATGATATTGTAAGGATAAGGGTTGCAAATTTGAATCTTGGCACAGGCTTTTTCTTTATTTTATGCTACATAGCAACAATCATGGAATGATAATCTGGGAGTTTAAAATATATATATATATATATATATATATATAAAATAATGCAACAATAATAAAATGAAAAAAATACCAGTCAAAAATTTAATATATCCCCCCCAAAGAAAATGAAGTGGCCTAGGAGAATGGTAGTGTTGGGGAGGTGGAGTCTTATAGCTCTGCAAACATGATTTCTCTCAGTCTAAAATGAAGATATGCAAATAATATTACACAACATGTACCAAAGTCGTTCATTTATAGGATACTTTAAAAGAAATATTTGCTTATGGCAGCTTTTAAAGAAATTCTCCAAATAGTTATTACTGAATTTGGGCTTTTCCCATCATGTTTCACTTATATTCATGAGGTGAAATGATTGGCACTAGTTGGAAAGGGGGTGGGGAAGCGGAATGTCTCAAGAGCATCAGTATAGATGCAGATACGTAATCCATGTTACATTAAAACTGTCTTCATAGATTTGATCACTGGTGCCCCAATTTTCATTCCAGGAAATGAATTTAGTATTTTAGTCAATTATCTATGATTAAAGTAGTGAGGTTGGGGGGGGGCGTAACCACTGTAAAAACAATTTCTGTCAGAGCATTTTTTTTTCATTTCCACTTCCTTTGATACTATGCACAAAATTTTGTAGACCGATTTTAAGACAATATATTTTGAATTTTCACTTACCACTAATTTAAAATTTCTTTAAAAAAAAAAAAAAAAAAAAAATTCTATACACCTTTGTGTACAGAAAAAAGTAATAATATATTCAAAACGGATTTAAATCACCTCACTTGACAGTGTGCATATCATATTATATAGGTAAAAATATAATATATATACATATATACACACACACACACAAAAAAAACAAAAAAACAAACAAACAAAAAAAAACATATTTGGGAGTATGTTATATATTTGGGTATTAAAATGTACAAACACGCATACCCACACCTGCCCACACACGCCATAATTTATGCATTTATCAAGAGGGATACAGATATAGGTAAAGAGATATATTTGAGCAAAATAAAAGATTTAAGGCATAGATTTGAAGTTGAGGGAGAAAGTCTTTTTTTTGTTCTGTTTAAACAGAGGCAGAGATCATTATCTTTTTATTTTGTTTTTTTTTTTGTTTTTTTGTTTTTCATCCAAAGACTATCATCACATTTTTAAATTGGTTTCATTCTTTTCTTGTTGCGGCACAATGTGAAAACTTAAGTTTACTTACTTCACATGAGATAAAAGAAAAAAAGTGCAATACATTAAAAAAAATTTCTTTAATAAATTTTGTTCATTTTGGACTGAAGAGGAAACTTTTTTCTTATAGCTCACATTTCCCATTTACAAAGGGACATACATTCTTTTATTGTTCATCATTATGACTTAATGTCTTTTTTTTTGTTTGTTTTTTCAATATGACTGGAGGCAAAAGATTGCGGTTGCAAAAGGCAAGTAAGTGAGAATCAGTTGTGTGTTTTTTTTCCTTTCTTTCTGCTATTGTCAGAGTCCAAATATGCAACCAATGGTCAATCATCTCCACCCCTTCAGCATCATTTAGATAACCAGAACGGACACAGAAATCCTGTCAAGAGGTGATCATGCATGTCCCACAAGTTTTGCATCTCTCGTTTCCATTTCTCCACAAAGGCTAAGAGATAATTTACGCGCACGTTCAATGCCAGTGAATGGCTGTCTGTGGTCAAGGGCCAAAATCGTGCTCACTTTACACTGAATATTGTTCGTGAAGGGGTTTATAGGTGCGGGGTTTTGTAAAGGGGGAAAACCAATGAAGGCCAAAAGGGTGTCCAAATACAGATTTGATGCTCAACCAACGAGATTTTCTTTCCCAAGTGGCCTGCTCCTTCTTTAATTGCTCAATACCCTATGGGGAAAAATAAAAATAAAATAAAATTGTAATACTTCTCACATTAGAAAACTCATACTAAGTACAAAACTGAAAGAGAAAAGAAATGTTGGGTGCAAAATATTTTAAAAGCTATTCTTACAACTTATTCACTGAATTATTTCAATGAGCATCTTCACTTGTGACATCTGAATAACTGATACAATAGTTGGCTCATTTAATATGTAAAACATGAATGAAAATTAACAAGTTTTGCAGGATAGAGGCAGTAAAATACTTCAGATTGCAGAACTTTAGACAACATTCTTGCAAATGAATCAGAATGAAAGCAAGTAATAATAAAAACAAAATTAACTTGTTACTCTTCAATACTTCATTAATAAGTGTGGATTTATTTTGTTAATACATCAATGTTTATTGACAATGCATATTTATGGCAAACACAAAATGAGATGGAGGCAAGCAAATAAAATAAAAAAGTGTCATTTGATGAAACTGGAAAATGCTTTTTGTAATTCCTTTTTAGCCATAAATACCGTGGATGATGCATTGAAATAGGAACAAAAATGAATCAATTATTCTTGAGTGTTAATCAAATGTTGATATTTAAAAAAAAAAAATTAATAAATGGGGCAAAGTTGAAATCCTTTTAAAATTCTTTGGACTGTGCTTTAAATGCATGTTGTGTAGTCACAATTTTTTTTTTTTATATAAAAAAATGCGTAATATATATATATATATATATATATATATATATATATGGGTGAGTAAAAGAAAAAAATTTGATTATGAGAGAGACAGAAAAATACTTCTCAATTCATTTCATGAGAGATTTGTTTTAATTTTTAAAATGACCAACATTTTATTTTTATCAGGGGCTTATCTTCTATTGTTTTAAACCTAATATAACTCTTGTCTTATTGCCTCTGTTGTGGAGAATAATAATAGCTTTGTGTAACAAGATTCATTAGCCTAACTTGAAAGAAAGCTGATTTTTTGTTAATAATCACTGAAAAAAAAATCTTTTTTGTTACAATTCAGCATATCTAAAATGACAAACAAATGGAGAAGTACATTAGGATAGGAACAGTTTTCAGCTGGTTCAATTTCATACATGAAATATTGTCATTATTATTCATTATTATTATTGGGTAAATTTGTTGCCATTTTTATATTTTTAATTTTGCACCTGTGAATTGGTTTGTTTTTTGATTTTGTCAACTGCACAATATAGTAATGTCAGTTGGGCATCGTCTGTGGGGAAAAAGAGCAACATGATGCAATTCACTGCCAGAAATTTGTAAATGGCATGCTGTACTGCTTGGCATTTACACTGGAAGTTCCAATATGAACATTACAGAGTGATTGGGTGTCAATCTGTATCCCCAGAAAAGTACCAAAAGTGATGAAAACAAAATATTCAATCAACATCATGGTGTTTGGCGTGATCATTAGTAATGCCAATGTTGTGTCTCCATTCATCTTCCCACAGGGCCTCAGACTTAACACGGAGGCCTACATCAAGTGCCTTGAGGAGGTAGTGTGGCCCTGAGACAAGAGGGTGGCTATGTCTGACAACAGGGCTCTGCATCATGCTACACATGACACATCATGCCGAGTTCATGACTGTCAAACAATTTCTGCAACTACATCACACCTTATATCTGACCACCTAACTCTCCAGACTGCAACCCCCTTGATTATTATGCGTGGTGTGCAGTTAATATAGAGATTAGCAAAACTTCTTGTAAAAACCAAAGATGAACTGAAGGCAAGGATTATGGCAGCATTCACAAAACTTAAACATGGAGACTGTCCAGAAGAGTTGCAGGAGATTCCAAACTCGTCTGGAGGCCGTGATTGAAGCCAATGGCAATTTTATTGAATAAATTTACTCTTTAGTATTTAAAGATATTTTTCTGCAGTTTTGTTAAATATATCTGTTAAAATGAGATTTCAGTGTTATTTCTATTTTTGCATAATTTCAACAATTTATCCATCGCACCATATATATATATATATATATATGCTTCACAAATTAGGCAGGCAGTGTATCTGCATCAAGCTAACTCTTCACAGTATAACAGAAAATATGGTTATATCAGAATTTTTAATGTTTGAATACTAAAGCGAATGATAAATTTTTATTCTGATATCATGAGGTATTGGTAGAACCGAGTTACTTAAAATGAAGTTTGAACTATTAAACTGTGGAACCACGCAGGGATTCTACCTACTTTTACGTGCGCGCACGTATTGCACCCCTTCCTTTCACATTCGGCTAGATATAGTAATAAACAGCCGTCTGCTGCCGACGTGAGGAAGCTGCTGGCTGCTGCTGATTCCAGCTAGAACAGAATTTGAAGTTTTCCCGCGCATTCTCTGACATCACTGACGAACGGTGTTTTTCAAATGAGTCGCTGCCTGGTCTCCGAGCAAAAAGGTCAACTCATTTATTTCGCGCCCCTTACCCATATGCGGGCCGAAATATCTTAACTACACAAAACTTCCTAGTAAACTCCTTGGCACATAATGCCGAATCTCTTCATGTGGTTGCAACTTTCTGCGAACAACTTGTTTGAGCTTTCCTCCATTCTCTACCAGAGAACGTAGAGTTTATGAGACAGTCGCCATCACACTTTTACAATGACTAATTCCTCGTCCTGACGCGAACAACTTGTTCGAACTTTCCTCCGTTCACTACCAGGGAACAGAGTTTTTCAACACGGATGATTGATAAACTTCACATACACCTTTTGAACTCTAACCTTACGAACCAGTTTAAAAAGAAAAAAAAAAAAAATAACATTACACACATGACAAAAATCTCGCAGTGAGTATTTTCCTTGTTGTGTAGGCATGTACCTTTTGCATAAGAAGACTGTTCCAGAATTTTCCTTCTGAGGGAACCTTTCCCGCCTTAGCCATTTTGATTTTCGTTTTGGTGCGGAACATTCTTTTATTGACTACTTGTCACTACCTTATACAACTTGCCTACTTGCTAAGAACTAGCTTTACTTTTCTCATGGTCTCCACTGTTTGAGACAAAATACTTTTTATTAAATAAAGTTTTATATTTGTTTTCCACCAGACTCGTTTTCGTTGTTCCTCCTGGCTACCTATTTTTTTTTTTACCTTTTTATGCATGTGTTGAATGACCCTTTTTCCTAAGGAGACTGTAATAATTCTACGGTTAAAAGATCACACATTTATTTTCACTTATTCTGTTTTTTTTTTTTTTTACTTTGCTAGTGAATTCGGTAGTCGTGAGTAGTGTCTGGCACAAGGCTACCTCTTCATAGGCCAGCACTGCATGCTACCGGGTCTGCTACAAAACCATATCTCAGCCTAAATTCATTAAATGAAGGCTTTGAGACAAAATTGCATTTTTTGTAGTTGTTAGAGACATACCTATCCAAAAGACATAAGCATACAAGGTCTGATCAAAAAGTATCAGGACTGTTGCTATAATAAAGTATGCAAAATGAAGCTGCTTCACACAGATTGAACTCTGGTCGCCCAGGCACACTAAGTTTATAATGTTCTGTCAATTCCATTGTTTCTGGCAATGCTTGGAAGGAAAGTGTGTAGTGTGTGGTCATCTCACCACACCACAGAATTTCCACCAGTGACTGTGGTAGAGAAAACTGAGCAAAGTATCTGCATCAAATTTTTCTAAAAGCTTGGTGATACATGTGCAGAAACCTATGCAAAGATGCAGAAAGTGTATAGAGAGGAGTGTATGAGTTGGACAAGTGTCTACAAGTAATTCAAACATTTCCAAAATGGCCAACAACATGTGAACAGTGACAGGCATTCTGGGACACACCTGCAACCACAGCAGAAACTTATGAAAACATGAGAGTTGTTGGGAGATGTGAACATTAGTTATGGTTCAGTTCAGTTCATTCTCACTGAAGATTTGGGTATGAGATGTGTTTGGTAAATATCTGCCAAAACTGCTTTCTGTTAACCAAAAAGAAAATCAGGTTTCAGCTGTACAGGATCTCTTTGATTGTGCTGAGGAAGACAAATCGTGGGTCTATGGCTATGACCTTGAAACCAAGGTTCAGCCATTGCAGTGGAAAGACTCCAACATAGGTCCAAAGAAAGTATGAATGAGTCAAAATAATGTGAAGACACTTGACAGTTTTTTTTTTTTTTTTTTTTTGACTACACATGCATGGTTCATAAGTATCATTCACTTGCTCAGACAGTAAACAAAGACTACTACTGTGATGTATTTTTCAGTGCAACGGTTCTGATCCAAGCACAACATTCCTCAGATCTCGCCCCTTGCAACTTTTTCCTCTTTCCAAAAATCAAATCCCACTTGAAAAGAACAAGATTTCAAGATGTCAAGGAAATCCAAGAGAATGCAACAAGGCAGCTGCTTTCTATCACAAAAAAGGAGTTCCTGGAATGCTTTCATCAATTGAAACAACACTGGATAAAGTGTGTGGCTTCAGATTAAATGCTGTATTGATATATGTTTTAGTTTTCTTCTTATAGCCCCAGTCCTGACATTATTTGATCAGACCTTGTATATTGGAGAGTTTGGAACATTCCTGGTAGAACAAGTGATTAATGTGTCAGTGTGACAAGCAATCAAGAATGAGCAACATTTTAACAAGTGTTCAAATAATGTGGCTTGAAATTGTGTGTATGCACATGTGTGTACTTACCGTCTCATCTGTGCAAATAGCAGAGAGCTGTGAGCCAAACATGATGGCTGTGAAGATTCCAAAGAGAAGACCTTCAAAGATGAGAATGATCAAAAACACTGTGGTGGCAGGGGGTGAAAATGCAGGACATACTGAAAGAAACACAAAACAACAAAAATGTCATCTTCTCTTTTCATAACAGACAAAGATAGAGCATAAAGGTTCATTAGCAAAAATTCAGTCCTTTTTGAACAGCATAACTGAAATCAATAACAAAGTAGGCAATCTTTACAAGGGTCAGCCAAAAATGTACATAGGCTGACCAAAAGACATGCAAGTGTACCAGCTGTTGTAATCTGGTACAGAGGTGTGTCTACTTTCAATTATATCTTAGTCAGCCTATGAACTTTTCAACCTACCTGACTCTAAAATGACTAGATAGATTCTAATGAAATATCAAAAGATTTGTACAATAGTCAGTGATCTTTACCTTAGTGCTAGTAATATTGAAATGTTTTCTGTCATTGGGATTAAGATGTAGAATGAAGAGAGAGAGAGTCTGAATTTAAATAAGTGACATGAAGTTTGTTCTTTAGTCAAATAAGGAACCCATTTTGTCAGGTCATCTTAAACTGCATTGAAAAATTGGTAAGGTTTTAAGAATCAATGATCAATTAAGAAAACTCATTACATTGGTAGTGAAAATATTGAATAAACACATTGAATTCCAAACATCTCAAAATAAACTGAAGAGAAACTTTTTCAGAGCTACACTAGAGTTCATCCTTGTATATGTCTCCTTAAACTGGACACTAACCGCCAAACTGAAAAAGAGGTTAGATGGTGCTTACATGTGAATGCTTTGAACAGCATTAAACAAATACTGGAATGATCACCCAACAAAGAAAGAGCTCTATGGCAACATGTATATCAGCAAATTAACACGACAACAAAGACTAAGATTTTCTGGTCACTGTTGGCATAGCAAAGAAGAACTAACTGGAGACTTTCTACTCTGGATACCATTCCATGGATAAACAAAAGGTCGACCAAAGAAGATGTACATTGACTATCTGATTGAAGACTTGAGATGCAGACTGGATGAGTTTCCAAATGCAGTGGGTGACAGGAATGAATGGAGGCAGCGTGTCATGTTTGCTTGACCTGACGATTATGAGCAAAAATATCAAAGGGTATAAATTAACCAACCCAATAAAAAGAGGGTTAATACTTGACATTACTCAGACAAGCACACACTCTTTGAGAGAGTGTGAACACTTGCATAATTTAATGAACAAGTTTGTCCTTTTGCTGTTCATTAGTGAATTTTTCAGAAGATAATTTAACATGTAATGACAAGAAGTGTACCTACCCAGATCATTTCAATCATTACATGTTAACGTGCTGACTAATCCAGAATAAAGTCAGATAATTGATGTCGATATCTGAGCAGCTTTTTTGTCTCTCCAAGTTGGTACAATGTGAGACTGCCTGGATTTAACAATCAACATGGCCTCATCACTCCAATTTGAATTTGTACAAATATTTCTCTGATCAAACCTGCTTGTCAATAGCTGCACATTTACTTAGTTTTATAAGATGGCATACATTTTCAGTTCTATAATAATATTCAGTTTTGTCTCCGACAGATTACAAGTAGGGCTCCAGAATGAGGACAAAAATCCAAAAATTGTAGCTGCAAGCACTAATCAGTGAAGTGTGTGTGAGAGAGAGAGAGAGAGAGAGAGAATTATAGTGAAATATTAGCAGTAAATTGGTTATGTATATTAAATGTTTATTACATTTAGTTTATTATTGGACTGGAAAAAAAAAAGAAAAGAAAAAAAGAGCAGCAAAAAAAAGATGATCTTTTGGTATTGGAACCAGCAAAAATTCGAGAAAATGTCAAATTTCATAATTTGCAAACAAATGAAATTCATTTCATGTTTTATAAAAATAATTAAAAAGTAAAATGCTATTGTTTCCCCTCCCAACTTATAAAACCACCATACCATGAAATCGCACTCAGCAATTGATATTTAACAAATATTAATTAATCTTGTATATCAAATTATTTTAAATAAAATATAAAAATTTAAATAGTTCCCCACCACTAACTTATTGACATATATATATATATATATATATATATATATAGCTGCTTGGTCAAGGAATGCCAAATGTTTCCTTATAAGGAAATTTCTAATATTGCCATAAAAATTATTAATAGGCTCAACCAGGTTGAACTAACTATTGAATTTACCTTTGAAATAGAAAATCTCTCATATATATATATATATATATATATATATATATATATATATATATATATATATAATCATCCCAGTATTAATACAGTTTTAATAAAAGCTACAAATAAAATAAGACTAGAATGTACATTTTTGTTGTTATTGTCCCAATATTTTGAATTGAACATCAGATGAGATTGTGACAAGCAGAAAAAGCATCCAAAAGGACAATGCAAACTGATCAATTTAGAAGAATCCATCAATACACAATAGAGTTGAGAACATGGATAGCAGAATGAAGATAATCTTCCTCTATAGATTGAATAAAGAATTCTATTCAAAAGTCCCAGAATGATTCAGAATACAACCTAAAATTGGTAGAATGGCTGACACATTGTGACTTTAACAGCTATGACGAGGATATTAGTTATGATAATTCTTCATGACTGGAATTATTGAAACTAAAAATAAACTGAATTGCAAACAAATGACTAATATACAAATGCAAACAAATGACTAATATACAAATGCTTCCTGGCTCATTTTCACAAAAAGTCTAACTGTTGAGAATATTAAAACTATTTTTATTTTAATCTAAATTTTTTTAAAGTCAAATTGATAGCTGATATTGAAAATGACTCCAATCTGTTAATTGGGGCAAAAAATTATTTAATTTTAATACTTCCAAAACTTCTCTTTTGTCTTAGAGAAACTTTTTTTGCCTTCTACGAGCATGGCTGATGTTAACCCCCCAGGAAAGTAACTCCTTGTGCCTTCTCGGTCTAACATTTTTCACGGATATGAATTGGAAAGATTACATTCTGTTAATGACAATTGTTCTGATCAGCTTTCCTCTTTGGTACCTTGATTTTATGAATTTAAGCAGAGTACTAAACTAGCAACTCGGTCTCATTTTACTATTTAAATTGCTACATGTTGCTGTAAGTTATTCTAATAGTTTCTTCTTTTGCACTTCTCACCTGTGGAAATCTCTTCCAGTTTCTTGCTTCCCTGTCAACTACGATGCTAAAAAATTTAATTGCAATGTCAATTGTGATCTTCCAAATTTTGAATGCCGTTCTTTTATTGTGCTTAACATTTTTTTTTCAGATTCTTTCAAGTAACCTTTTCTGTCTTTGTGGCTTTATTGCCTTACTTGGGTGAATGATGAGAAAAAAATTGAGAAACTTTATCTTATCTGCTGAACAATAAAATGGAGAATTTGATGCAATATGGTTTGCATCAAATCCCCCCATAAAGTTCATTTGTTTATCATACATCATTTTTTGAAGCCTATGCAAATTTCTGTTCTGGAATAGAGATAAAAAAATATACCAATAACTGGGCCTATAATTATAAAATGTTAACTTTTGCTGTTCAGGTTTCATTTTTATTTTTTTGCTAATATCAGTTTTTGATTAGTAAATGCAAATATATTTACCCTGGATTATTCAAGAAAAATACTTTTTATATAAAAAGGTGGTTGAGAGCTTAAAAGTTTAAATACCAACAGATAAAAATCATTGCTGTCTGAATCACATGGTAACTTGTTCAGTAGTTTTAATAAAAGGGGTGAAGACAACTTTTGAATATTTAAAAAAGAAAAAATATTGTTCCTTTTCCACAATTCTGTTGTGCAGATATTTGCAAAGAGAATAGTCAATAAGACTGCATAGACAAAAGCTAAAAATAAAATGTAATTTGTGAAAATGGCAAGTGAAATGAAGTGTGGGGAACAAGAATCAGTTAGATTCAGCTGTGAAACTAAAATGTCATTAGGCCTCAGAAACAAGTTGACATTTTGTATCTAAGCACAAATTTCTTCAGACTTAGAAAGATGGCAGGAAAGAAAAAAGTGGAAGAAGACAAATGAAAATGCATGACTTCAGGGACTGTTTTTTTTTTTTCTTATCTCTCTCCTCCTACAATCTTTGGGATGATCTTTTCTTTATGCAAGTAGAGAAAGGAAATTAGCAAGTAAAAATAAAAATAATAAATTTAGATTTGTTTTCAAATGTAAATCCCAAAGTCTCTTAAAAACAAACCATCTTCCATTTGGCTCAACTATTTTCTGGATTTTACAAGCACAAGGGTATATCTAGATCTTTCCCCCCTTATACATTAACAAGAGAATAAGAATATTGACAATAATTCCATTATAAATGAGTTTTTTGGTCAATTTACAAAAGAGTTTTCAGAGTCTACCAAGAGACAGTTTCTGAAGCAATAATAATTTTATAATTGGTTTACAGCAATATTCGTCACCTCTTGACACTTTAAAAACTGTAAAACTATTGGTTAAATTTTTTTAAATGCTTTCAAGCCTTCTTCTCCACTTTTGCAAATGGTGAGCATTATGACTTTTACAAGCATTAGTTTGTGTATGAACTTTTATGAAATGTGAATTTCCTTTCTCTGTAGTGCATTAATAGTAAAACTGTCATTAACAGGTTAGTAGATTGTATAGCTGCCAGCCCATTGCAAAAAACACTGAATATTATTATCCAATTAAAATAATGGCATAAACGACATTTTTCTTTTTATTCAAATTTTCCTAAAGATTAATTTTCTTCCATTTATTATTTCAAAGACACTAAAGTGAATATATGTAAAGTTTTCAACTTAAATTATATATAAAGATGGAATTTAAGAAAACCAGTTGTTTAACATTTTTTTTAATTTCCTTGTTAACATTTCAGTCCATAAGACCATTTTCAAAACAACTGTAAAATTCATTACCTTGGCAACCCTATTATTTAAAAATGCTGTGGTTAACTTGAAAAATGCTAAAATCTAGAAAATATCTGAACAAATCAATGTGATTTGCATATGGGAAGTATGTTAAAATGTAAATATGGTTATTTGAAATGGCAAAATAAGATAAATAAAAGAAAGTTATGGCGAGAAAAATAAAGTGTATATATACAAAGTAAATTCTGAATAAAAAATAAAATCAATGATAGAGACAGGAATAACAATAACAAAGTTATGATTAGTTTAGATATTAATCCTCTCTACTAATAATCCCATTAATAAAAGTCTTAACTTATTGGAAAAAACATGTACAATATAAAATTTACCTCTACCCAGTGATACCATTATTAGTATATATAGACTATACAGCAATCTATGTTATTTTAAATTTAACAACAATTATTACAAACAAATTTGGACTGCTTATAGATAGCTCCTTTTGGTAGTAGTTTATGTATTTATTTCTAGAATTTTTAGAATCAGGGCCCATTTCAATACATCCTGAAATGAAGACCTCTTCTTTGAACTTTGTGGACTGGTGCTACAAAATCACAAAGAACTGTACTAGTTAACAAAAACCTCATTACTTGAGGATTTACAAAAACTAAAATGGATAGCACATGTAACTAGAAGAGAAAATAATGACAATCAAAATGTTAACATTTCACACCACATCAAATAGAAGATTCGGAAGGAACAAATAATGCCTTACCTTTTTTCCTTACATATTTTATTAATTAGATCCAATAAATTAGAATTCAAAATATACCAAAAATATAAACAAGAATTAACATATACATTTTTACTCATATTACAACAATAAAACTGGGTATTATAGGTTTTTATCTCCGAGCATTTAGAATATATAGCCCCCATTAACTAGACAAACTTAAATACTTTGAAAACACATTGAAATCACTACAACACCCTATTTACTTGAGACTAAATGCTGAGAAAAGATTGAAAGATACACATTAATAGTAAACATGAAGATTCTTATGAACATTCTATGCCTAATAATAGATATATCTGTAGCTACAAATCCATCTACTCTAATAATTACTATCCAAACCACATTATCTATCATAAAAGATACAAGTAAAAAAAAAAAATCAACAATATAATTTAAATGTATGTGTGTGTGTAAAATTTCACATAACTAAAATATATCTTTAAATGGACATTATGAATAAAGACAAAAGGAAACTTAGCTGATGTGTTTCGTCCTCTGAAGGACTTTATCAAAGCAAATGTAAGGATTTTATTTTGCAACAAGTATTTATAAACAAAGTAAAAATATTAGTTTTTCTAAATTTTTAAATTTAAGAATACTTATAAATATACATCAGGTGAACTGACTAATGCCATCCTCATTAACTAAATTAACGAGGATGCCATGTGATGTAATTTAACATCTAATAAATGAAAGTGAGTAAATATTGAAGTTTTTTTTATAATGTAAATATTATTTGTATTATCTTAGTCCGAGATTAATTTATGTATTATATATTTTAAATAATAGAAAGTTATGAATTAATAGTTTTTTTGTTAGGTTTCAATAAATTTTATATTCATGTATGTTGACTTAGGAAAGTAGATATCCGAAAAAAATCCCGAGACACAGATTTATAGACTACCATATCGTAAATGTGATAACATTTATATTGGTATGACAACGTTTAAAGAAAAACATGCTTAATCACAAAAAAATTTTGACAATTGAGGATACATTAAATAATTTTATTCCTAATATACAAAAAAAAACCATTTTGAAAAAAAGGAAATGCTAAAATGGTGAAAGGTAATTACCATGAATCATCGAGAAGAATTACTGAATCAGCTCGGAAATACCAATTCGATTAATCAAAAAGTAGGCTTTTATAACCTGCCACTTTTTTTTTTTTTTTAGCGAAAAAGAAAATATTAAAATAGAACATCTTAAGATATTTGAATGAAAATCTATTGAAAGAAATCATTACCATAGCAACCCTACTACTTAATGTTCTGGTCAATTCTATACCTTCCTTAACACCTAAAAAATATCAAATTATATTTTAATTCTAAATATTTTCACTATTTACTTTGGATATATGCATTTTATTTTTCTCACCATAACTTATTTTCTCATGTCAAATAACCATATTTATGTTTTAAAATATTTCCCCATATATAGATCTCATTAATTCATTCACAGACATTTTAAAATTTTATTAACTGTTAAAACTTTCTCAAATTAATTACAGCATTTTTAAGTAGCAAGATTTTTAAAATCTAATGAAAGAAATCATTACCTTGGTAACCATGATAATGATTTCTTTCATAAGAATTTTTTCAGTTGTTTTGAAAATGCTCTTACAGAGCAAAATGTTAACAGATAAAAAAAATAAAAATAAAATAAAATCTGATTGATTTTCATGAGTTTCATCTTACAAACTTTGTCTGGAAATTTTTCAATTATTTATCATATATAATTCACTCATTTTCTTTTTGAAGTGAAATAAATTATCAGATATCACCATTTAAGAGTTTGCAATTCTTACCAAGAAGTTAAAAAAAATTCAAGATCATTCATTTATTTAAAAAAATAATTTTTTTTTTTATTGCAATATTCTTTTTAACAACAAATAGGATATGAAAATTACAGGAGTTTTCCCAATATGGTTATATTTGAACATTAAATAATTAATAATCTGGAAATTAGCAATTTCCTTTTCACTGATAAGGCATGCTCATTTAACTAACCACATTTTTTTTTAACTTTATAAATAAAAAATTTTCAGCAAAAAAAGCTTATCCAATTTTTTTTCCATTTATATCTAAATTTTAACAAACAAACAAACAGAAAAATACAAGATCGTGAGACCAAGTGAAAGGGTGGGTAGCTCACCAAACTGAATATGAGTCAAATCAGTGGCATTGTTGGGAAGTAAATTTAAAACCACCAGTGGCAGTGGGTAGTCACCTGAAAAACACGGACATGCAGTAGCTGTAGTGCAGCGGAACAAGCAGCTAGTGAGAACAGCAGAAGAGATGCTGCGTTCTGCAGTAAGAATACAGAACAAGAACACACACACATACACACACACAATTATGTGGTGGTGGTGGGGGCAGGGAATGATTTGGTTAAATCTGCAAGACAAGAGTCAGAGTTCAAATCTTACCATATTTGTTTTCTAAAATATCATCTCAAAAGTTTAGCAATTTAGAAAAAACTTGTAGGACCAAATATGTATTGTATGCTTTGGACATAAAAAAAATTCAAAATGTAACAATTAGATCTCACAATCTTTTGCCACATAATGCAATTTCATTTTTGTTTGTTTGTTTGTTTGTTTTTCTTGACACATTCATTTAGGTCCAGACATCTCAATAAAAGTTTACAATAAATGTTCAAACATTTTCTGTGAACAGAAATCTTGATAATTAACAGACATATTTCTTTAAAAATCTTTTTACAATATGGTAAAACAAAAACTTTGGCCCCTTCCCCCTCAAAAACGTGCACAACATTTAACTTTGTAACAAAGAAAGTATAAATATTAAAAATAAACACCTATGTTGCTACCTATCTGAATAATTCAAGAGTAACACTAATAAATAGAAAGAAGAAAAGGAAACTAAATGAAAACTTATGAGAGAATCCAGCCTAATAATTTCCAGTATTTTTCATTAGTATATCAATCAGCTTCAAATTCATTTTTAAAATAATCCATTGTATACTACTGCTAAAGAGACAGGTGAGAGACTAAGAGTAATATAAATACTACAAACTGATTCTCAATAGTTTTATTATAAACACACATGTACACAGTTTTCTACCCACTTTAACTGGAGGTGAGTGGTAGTTCCAAAATTGAAGATATTATGAGGTTTAGTACCATGGTGGTTGCTATTAAAATTATTAAATTTGGTACACGTGTACTAAATATACCTACATTTTCCACAATTTTAATTGTTGTTGTTTGTCAATCAAAATAAATTCAATCAACTAAAAAAGTCTGAAAATGTCTCCTCTGATCCAATAACTTTATCAAAATAAAATTTAAGTGGGTATCAGGAAATTGGTACATATGTACTTAGTCAAAATAGGTGAAACACGATTTGATATCATGAGTTTAGTTCTTATTGAAATATTAGAATGAAACTAACACCACCAACGAGCTATAGGTCTGATACCTTACTTAGTACACCCCCTTCTCAGTATCAGCTAGCAGCTTAAGGGTTTGTCCCAAGTACACCAGCTGCATGATTCATCGCCATAACACAGGCATACTGGACATGAGAATACAACCAATTAAAAATACAGGTGATATATTTCACTAAAATAGCCCCAAAATGTTTTAATACAGGTGTATGAAAATAAATTTGAAGACAAAATGGTTCTATCATGAAATTTCTTCAAAATTACTATAGTATTCATGATGTCTTGGATTTTGGCACTCCCGCGCTACCTGCTTCTGCTGTTTAAATTCCTTGAAGTGAAACTATCAATATCATATACAATGATATATAAAACAAAAGACATCCTTTGCCATGTCATTTTCCCAGAGACTTGATTAGATTTACTCTTAATCTCTTGTTGTATTGGATTCTAATTTCCATAATTAGAAAGATATTCAATTACTTGCTAGACTAAATCAAAAAGAATGTTTTACCAAACATCTTAAAACTGCTATACTTTTCTATAATACACTAGAATATTATTTATAGGATTCTATCAACAATTAACTACAATAACATACAACATCAATGCATTATACAATATTTATAAAACAATGCAGTATTGGTAAAAGTTTACCCATGCATATTTTAAAGAGGAAATGAATTGAACACATACACAAATACGCACAACATATGCAAAAACTGTGAACATGCAATTACAGAAGTCAGAACTTTGGTACGATTCTTTTTAAGTAAAAAAAGAAAAGGAAAGACATTTATTGATCACTTATTGAAACAAATTAAAGCTTACAGAAAATGCTTTCGTTTTCTCAAGAGGGCAATTTTTTTATGACACCAGATTTGTAGTGTTTCTTATTAAAATCATTACTCCATCTACAGGAGCCAATAAGAACTTTCAATGCAAATTAGCCATAATTAAAAATACCTTGTAGTTACAAAGAAAAAAAAAAAAGAAAGGTACTAAAAATTCAAACAACTAACTTCCCTTCATTAGAATTCACAATTTTCTTGATGGTGTTAGAAAGAGTGCAGTATTTTTTTTTTTTTGAAGTTTCATGGTTGCATATTTATTTTTTGTGATACACTACGTCAAGCAAGTTTTGCGTCGGATTGATTGATTAAAAATATTTTTTCTTTTTTTAATGTCTTCCAATTTTGTAAGAATTAGCATTTTAAGGAATGTTTACATTCTTTAAGATTCAATATCTTAATAATCATTATTTTTTAATTTATTTCTACAGATGATCTATGGTCATCAAATGACAAGTTGAGGTTAAAAGGTCTTCAGAAAACATAAATTAAAAGAATAGACTCCTTTATATTAGAACATAAATTTTACAAGGCAGCTAAAAGAAATCCTAGCAGGTTATTGCAATAAATTAAATGCAGACAATAATTTTCCTATCATTTTTGGCAATACAAGTCACAAATGTCAGAACCAATGATTCAATGTACATTTATAAGATTTTCATTATCTGTTTAGTTTTACTGAACATTATTTTAAATACATAAGATTTTTCTGTCATTATGTGTGAAATCTGATTTTTATGATAGACAAATGCAAACAAGTTCCAATATTATTGGTCCTTTCCCACCACCATAAGGTTGCCTCCCCATGCCGTTTCTATAAATACTTTTATAGTAATCATTCACTATTGTACCTAGACATTTTTAAATTTAAGTGCAGTATGTCTGGTGACAAGATCTTATCAATTTACAATGGAGTTGGTAAACGTAAATTCTATGCTAACAGTTTCTTTCCCAGTAATTCTCACTTGTGGAACTCCCTTCTGGCTCCATGCTTTTTAGCCAACTCTAATCTGCAAAAATTTAAATGCAATGTCAATTGCTATCTACTGTCCTCCTGATTAACCTTTTTTTTTCCATCACTCATTAGTAATGAGTTTGCGTCTAATTCTTCCACACCCAGTAACACATTGGGTCTTAGTAGCTTTAATCCCTTGCATGGGGTGATTTCAATTTAAAAAAAAAAAAAAAAAAAATCAATCATAAGCATATTAAGATATATCGGCTCTACATTCTCCTTCGTCTTGTATTTTTAATGTTTAAATTGCAAAGATGCAATATGGCATTTCTGTGCTCTTACTAATAAAGACTAATCGGTTTCCCAAAAATTAATATTGGGTACTGGAAGGCTCTTAAAACTATCTTAGGGATTTATATTAAACAATATGAGAACAACTACAAATTCAGTTTTACCCATCTTAAGTTATATTGGTATTAGTTTACATCTAAAACTTCTGCTTGAGTTCACAAACAAATTCCACAGACACACAGAGAACAAAGAAAAATAAAGAAAATATATATATTTTTTTTTATCTCTTTACCTTTCCAGTCTTTTCCAATGCAAACCACAAAATGATTGATAGATAAAACTGCTGCATGTAGTGACATACAACAGATGTAGAGCTACAAAAAAAAAAAAAAAAAAAGACATTTGTACAAGCAAAAAATTAGATTAGGTGATAGAATTTATCACAACCAAAAATTCTAACATTTGCTTACCATAATGTAAATCTTTTCTAAAAATCAGGATTTTGCTTTTATTGCATTGTTCAGCCATTTCTTTAAATTAATAATTATGTTGTGCTTAAAAAAAGATATTACAAAGAGATTTTCTGTAATATTTTGGATAAAAACTTTATAGTGTTATTCATTATAGAACTAATAAACAGCTCTTAAAATAAAAAAAAATCTTAAAATCTACACATTCTTTCACAATCACTACAATCTTAACCTATTAAAGTCTAGAATTAACTGTTATCTTCCCCACAAACTGTGTCTCTTACTCTGTAAACCTCTATCTCAAGTGGCTCCTGGGCCTTATACAGGGTGAACATCATTGTAAAAAGAAATATAACATTATCAAAATATGACATCCATGGAAATCAATAGTGAAAAAGAATTATTAAATGTGATTTAGAAGCACCTTCCTTCCTTCTTTCTTTCCATTCATTAGTCATAATTTTGGGGCAGGACCAGGATTAATCTCACACATAGCAGTGTGAGTCCTGCCTGACAGAATCTCCATCATAATGATTTGAAACAAAGTTTTACAAGGCCGGATGCTCTTCCTGATGCCCAACTCAGACACTCATAGTAGTCCAAGTACATGGAGTATGTTTTTTATTTATTTGTTTTGAGACATCATTTCTAGAAAGGTTGCCATTCAAGGCTAGAGATCTTATCCTAGTCTTATTTATATGTTGGCTGTTGACGTCTACAAGAAGCTCTTCCACCCTTTATATTTTGAAAATAATTTAAAAGAGAAAACCTATTAAAAGAACAGAAAAATCTCCCTCCATTCAATTTCTTGAGCCAGCCATTAAACATGTGAAGAATGGTCACTAGAAAATTGTTAAAAAAAAAAAAAAAAAAAATTGTCATGATTTAATTGTAATTTTCAAATTTTAACAAGATTACCACTAATAGATTAGTAAACTAATTTGACTTTATGAAAAATCTTTGTCTAGATTAGAGAAATGATACTAATTCTTCAGTTTTGAAAGATATCTGATGGAATTCTTTTAGACTGTTTTGTTATTCTTGCTGTAAAAGAAAAAAACATAAGAAATAGAAATGATTGTATTACTGACCGTAAATAATACAAAAAATTTCTGGTTGCTTTCTCCTACACAATTGTTAACCCAAGGACAATGGTGGTCCATCTTTCGAATACATCGCTGACAAACACTGGAAGAGAAAAAAAATTTTTTAATAAACCACTTTTATTACATGCAACTATCAATCTGTATACACTGTATAGAAGAAAGAGTGACAAAAATCAATCATTTTTACAAAACAATTCAACCAAGAATTTCATTACACAATATTTAACAGTCACTTTCAGTTGTACAGAGAATTTATTTATTTAAATAATATAATATAATATATACACACTTCCATGGAGAGGAAGAAAAAAGGGGAGGGGAAAAAATTTGTCCAACGATAAAAGTTGGTCACATGTCTGTAGTTGGAATAAACTGTGACAAAAGTGGCAACAGTTGAAGGAAAGGAGGAGGAGAAAAGAATAAAAAAGAGAGAAGGCTGGGGAGTAAATGTAAGACAAAAGGAGAAACAAAAAAAACAGCCCAAAGGGACAAATGACCACAACACCCTACACACATCTGCAGAGACGTGTGCATGGCTGCACATGCACAAGCACACACAAGAAAAAAAAATTGCAAAAAAGAAAATAAACATAAGCAGTAAATTGCTGATACCCACTGAATGGATGTACAGGCCCACCTACAAAACTCTGGAAGGTAACATCCATCAATAAACTTTACTCACATTAATCCTCTCCTCTCATTATTATATATATATATATATATATATATATATATATATATATATATATATATATATATGGTGGGGCAGAAATATCTCCCACATAATGGTAAGTCATTAGCTAGATGAAGACACCATTGCCAGTAATGTCTTACCATTGTTCAGGAAGTATTTCTGCGGCACACTGTGTGTGTGTGTGTGTGTGTACTCATGATCCAAAATACATACTAGGTTGAATCAATAAGTCTAATTGAATGCATCAATTAGTTTTCATTTAAAATTTTCACTATATAATGTGAAGCCTGATTAATATTCCCCACTAAATTAAGTACATTGACAAGGAAGAAGATAATATTGAAATATAAATATTTCTAGTGCTTTTATTTTTTTTCTTCATTATTAGGCTGTAGAATTATTGTTGTATTGACATAGATAAGTTCATCCAACTCTGTGCCTAATAGGTCAGAGAGGGAGGGAGGGTCAACTTCTATTTACAAAAATGAATTTTTTAACATTTATGTATACTTATTCAACCCCTGTAACTTGTTGTTTCTATACTTCATGCCAACTCATTCAACTTCTGTATTGAAACATAAATCACTAGTGGTACCAACCTATTTTGAGCACCCACCTCCAACTAAAATTTCACAGGAAATTTCTACTCCCCTCCTATTAGAGAGACACTCTCCCATGGCTTATTAGGCATGGGAGAGTATTACTGGAAACAGCAGCACTGAGCCATGCAACAGCCTCTTAGAATCCACTCTCTCCTAATAAAACAAATGAGAAAAAGAAATGGTTCTTTTTGCTTATACTATTTTATTAGTCAGGTGTTCTATGGTACTTGTTCTGACACTGGTTCCATTTCCTTTAATTGATTTATTTATCTCATTTTGAGAATTATACTATTGTTGACTTTGGCATCCCAATATATTGCATCCATTTCACGCAAGCAACATTACCACTGGAACTACATAGATTTGTGGATAATTCAAGGTCATTACTAGATTTTGATGCTTTGATATTCATATTCTATCACATCATTTTGTGATACACTAAGATGTTGGATATTACAGTCCTTCTAGAATATACATTGTGAACTTGGTTACCAAGCCCTATCACTCCACATGGTGGTCTTTCCAAGAAAGAGTAAAAACTTTTTCAGAAGTCTATCCTTTAAATAAATCCATGAAAATATGAAAAGAACAGTAATGATTCCCACGTAGCTTCCAAATGATTTAGTCATTGTAAAACCATGCTATAAACTAAGAGTGAATTGCTTTTTAAAGAGAAAAGCAAAATAAACAAGATTCTAAGATTTAAATCTTCAAAATAGTAACGTATCAAATTATATAATGGATTGTTGCTAAAAATATTGCCAAGATATTAAATTATTTAATAAAATTATGAAATAGAATGCATGTGACTTAGAAAGAAAATTCTTTGTTTTTATTGTATAAGGCTCTGGTAGCCATAAATGTAATTTAGAGAGGAAAATCTATCAAATAACAATAATAAATTCCATATAGCAGTTTGTATATAAATACAAAACAATGTCAATTATCTCTGTAATATAACATAAAAGAGGTAAATTAATCAGAAAAGAAAATGATCCTTTTTATATATGTCATTCCTCAGCTGCAGATGGAACAAGAAATGTACTCTAATGTTCTTTTATTTTTCAGATTATAACTGATGTATTAAGAATGAAATGGCTTCTTACAAAGAATGTCTTTTAGAATCTGCAGTAATATGATAACACAATGTTGTTAACAGAAGAGATTTAAACACTTAATAAGCAATCATAATATGGCAATGGCATGTTGGCTTTGTAAGACAATGCAGAGAACATTCAGTGAACATTGAGCAGATTCCACTTTGTCCAAATAGATTAAAAATACCGTAAAATTGTGTGTGTGTGTGTGTGTGTGTGTAGAAATCCCTCTTTTATACATGTTCTGTTAAGATGACCTACAAGGTACTGAAATTAAGTTTATTTAATTTTTCTTGCATTTGTACAAGTGTTTTCATTTCTGAACACAAAGTGTATAAAAACTGTCCAAAAAAAAAAAAAAAAACTGTATATTCAAGCACTTTCAGTAGGTAACTCCACGAAATCGCTAAAAAAAGAGCATAGCCTGATGAAAAAGATGCCAAACTTTATGAAAACAAAATTTTATCGTCTAAATGCTTATGTTATGTTTTTATGAAGAGGAAAGACCAAAGTTTTTTTTAATTATTTTAAAATTTTTTTCCTTCTTTTAGAACATTCTAAATTTTGATTAAAAAAAACCTTGTTTCTCTTTGTACTAACTGGGGCTAGTAAATAACAGACAATTTTTAGCACGTTTTCTTTGTATGACACACATTAATTTGGAAAATCTTGCAAAAATAAAAATAATTGTCAGATGTTATTAAAGTCATGGCAGAAATATTTTTTTTTTATATTTATTAACACCCCCATAACTAAATTTATGAAAAACTCTAGAAATTCAAGCGCATCAATTTTAGTGATTACAATAGTTAAAAGCACAAGGCTTTGAAGAATGCAAATGTTTTTTTTTTTTTAATTGGATCCACGGTACCTGAAAATCAGCTCTGAATTGTAACATGCAAAACTCAATAAAACAAATATATTATTTAATTTCAAATCTTATTTGTTTTTAGTAGTTTTTACGAATATGGACACTATTTTCTGAAAGCAAAAAATTTTTTCAATGAAAATTGAATTATTTGTTATTTCTTTAATTATAATAGATTTTTACATTAATTTTTTTAAAAATATTAAAACATTAGTTAAAAGCCACGTCAACTTTTCTAAGTGTCCTTATGAGATTGTCTAGAGCTTTGAAAACTGTATCATTTGGACCAATCAGAAGATCTGCAGTAATTAAGAAATGTAATTTTGTGTTTATAATCGGGCGGTAATTATAAAGTACGGAAGACCAACCAGAATACAATTTAGTTGCATTATTTGAGTTCAGCATTGTTCTCCACTGTTAAGGCCTTTACTTTTGCGAAACACGTATGGAGAAGTTAATTTGATTTTTCAATTTCAACTGAGAAGGTACCTAAGAGTATCAGTATCATCTTATGAAATTTATATGATCTTATTTTTATATTAATCTCAGTTATGACATTTTTCCATAAATGAAATATCAAAATTAATAATAAAATGAATGGAAATACAAATAACACCGTAAAATGTAATAAATGTACATAAAATTACAGTATTTTATGTACACTTCTGATAAAATTTCATAAGAAAGGTACCTATAAATTAATTAGATACCTTTCTTATGAAATTTAATCTCACCCTTAACAGTCTTATTTTTTAATTTCTTTATATTTTCCATAAGGCATCGTAAACGTAAAGATGAAAGCTAAGTACAAAAAAAAAAAAAAAAAAAAAAATTTAATGAAAATTTTGGACATGCTAGGAATGATTAAAAAATGTAAAAAAATACCAAAAATACTTTGATCTTTCCTCTTTAATAATATGAACATGAGATGATAAAATTTTGTTTTCATCAAGTTTGGCATCTTTTTCATCATGCTATGCTCTTTTTGTTTACATTTCGTAGAGGTACCTAACTTTCAGCTATTTTTTTTTTTTTTATTCATTATCAAGGATGACATTTTTTTTTTATTTTTTATTTTTTTTTTACTAAAAATGTATGTGTCTAAAGTTATAGGAATGTTTTATTTTCTGAACACAGCACATTGTGACCATGTTCATAGTTAATGTTATTAAGTGTTGGCTTTTTTATTATTAAGGCTTCCATTATTTCTAATCTTTTTTTTTTTTTTTTTAACATGTAGATGAGGCTATTATACTTGTATCTTCAACTAGTATATTCCAGATGGAGTTTGGTAAGTTTTTAAATGTATTTAATTGAGTCCTAATTGAGCTATGGTTGGGTAGATGTAACACAAGTCATCTAGACAAGCATGTAGTGGTATGACCAATGTAAATATTTATGAGTGATCAGAAATACAGTTCCTTAAGGGGCATTTGAACTCGTAAATAATGTTGGTTCTTTGTAGTTTTGATTTCTAGGTGTGTTATTTTTCATAAGGTTAACTGTTTAAAATTCTTTGTAATAGATATTTTAATTTTCTTGTTCAGGTCAAGTGGCATTGTGTATTTCTTAGAGTGTATTTCATAGTTATATCCTGCTATTGCAGCAGAAAACAACTTTGAGTGAAATTAACAATAAGGATACTGCAATTGACAGGCCTTGAAAAAAGAATGAAGTAGAAAGGGAAGTATTATTAGTAATGCAGAGTGCTAAAGGTTAAAGAAAGAAAAAAGGTTTTTGATTACTTCACCTGTGTTTCGATATGCCTTTGAGGATTGTAAATTTCAAGGATGGAATTAGACAGAACATTTTTTTGTTTGAAATTTTACTTAAATGAATTTATTTTTGGCAGTGTGAAAATGTGTCTGCAAGTATTTACAAAAGAAAAAGGTAATCAATTTCTGTGTGCTATTGGTAGCAAAGCAACAGGGTGTAATGTATTTATTGTAAAGAAAGAAAAAAAAAAAAAAGGATAAAATGCATTAGAAAAAAAACAAAAAAACAAATACTATACACACCAAGTCTCTAATAAAATTGAAAGAGTCAGAGTATAGGCTCTATTGAAAGATTTATTAAAAAAAAAAAAAAAAAAAAATCAAGAAAAATAGCCCTTTGTGAAAAATATGTTGATAAGTCATGAAAAGCATCAAGGAATCTAAAATTAATAAATCCTTTACAAACAAGAATTATAACAATGGTATTTTCAATTTGCTGGTGAGATTATATCAGAGAGAACTCTTCATATGATATTACAGAGCAAGTAGAACTAAATCAATAGCATTTGGTCAATTACTGCATAATTATTATTAAATCACTTATAGTGCAATAAAAAGCTTGAACAAAACACTAAGATTAAAAGGATATATATATATATATATATATATATATATATATATATATATATATATATATATATATATACACACACACAATTATTCTTAATAATTATTTTAATATTTGCATACTAATGTAAACATACAAAGTGTGGAAAAACTAAAGTAAAAATCTACATCCATAATGATAGTTATTATTTATATTGGCAAAAAAAGATGAAAGCACTTTGAATACAAATAGGACAACAAAAGTAAATGTCCATAGCAACGAGGCAAACAAAAATGAATAGGCAGTTTCATTGCTGAACTGAATTAAAAAGAAAAAAAAAAGGTAATGAGTCAAAAAAATTCTTTCCCTCCCTCATATTCACATGGAAGGGTCTATATAGTGTGTAGGGAAAAGAACAAGGGTGAGGTCAAGCAGAATCTCAAAACTTATCAGTTACCAAGTGGAAGGTTGACTGCACAATAGTTAATGTGCAATTATATGCTGGCACTTACAAAAACAAGTCTTATCAACTAAAATTGACTTGGGTCACTCTGATCAAATTATACTCTTGTATTTCTGCCAATGCTCTTACAAAAAGCTGCTATATATATATATATATATATATATATATATATTTATTGCATGTGTGTGAAATTTCAGATCTAATTATTAAAAATACATCTGTAAAAGGATGATATGAATAAAGACAAAAGGAAAACTTATCTTAGCTGACACATTTCATCCTCTGGTGTCTTGATAAAATCCAAAAGACAAAGTGCATTGGCTAAATTAAGTTTTTTTTTCTTGTGTGTGTGTGTGTGTGTGTGTGTGTGTGTCACACACACTAAACAAATTACCAGCACCTTGTTGTGTGTCACTTTTTTTTTTTTTTTAAGAAAATGATAATTGATTTTAAATCATTGTTATAATTTGTGGAGAAAAATGATGCATTTCAGTATTACTCAATGATTTTATTGATGTGACCTCCATCTGACTTTCTCCTATATTTTGGACAGGAATCATTCCCTTGTTCAAATTTAAATCAAAGGGAAAAAATTTCAGTAGTGGGTGGGAGTTCTGGATTTAAATAACTGATTACAAAATAACAGTGTCCATGTCATTTTATGTTCAGTACAAAACCAGTTGTAATAAAAGAAAGCTTGCTGATATCCGATGTCAGAATTTACTCATGATTCAGTCAATTCTGAGTGGAATTACACATTACAGAATTTGGTTCTGTTTCTTTAATACTGGCTATAGTTTAAATAATTACTTTTTTTTTTTTAAATTTATTATTTCCCTTCATTGTTGCTGTGTGCACCTCTGCTGTTATCATGTATAACTTAAAATGACCAACCCAGCTTTTAATTCTTTACAAAGGTTAAGTTCATTATTACTTCAAAGTTTGCAGTGTATCCTGATAGTTAACAAAATCCACCATGTGATTTCATTACTACATAAAACAATTTAACTAGCTCTGTTAACTTAATTGCTTGACCACCACTGAAACATCTGCATTTTACTGAAGAGTGATCAGGACTGTACAGCTCTTCAGGAAAAATGATGAATAAATTTTTTTTAGTTTTATTTTGGCAAATTTTATTGGATTGAAAAACTAAGAGGCTATAACATATGATCAAGAAAAAAAAATTACTTTAGAGGTACACTTTTTAATGTTTATCATGATGATAATTGGAATACTTACCTACAATGGTGTGCTCTATCTGGTTTTATGCTTACACATTTTGGACATTTAAATACAACTTCCCCTTGCTTCAAACCCAGCTTCATTATATTTTCTCTTGTAGCATTTCCACGTGGAATGGCTCCCTGAAACAGTGCAGAAAATAGAAAAACAAAGACATCTTTAAAGAAAGAAAGACATGCACTGCCTGAAGAAAAGAAAAGTACCAAAGGTGAAAAGGCACAAACTCCAATAGGTTAGCTGCTACATATTGACATTAGCTTCCACACCTTCCATTTCCATCATTTACTGCAGGATCTTAAATAGATTTTGTACATAGCAATTTAATGTTTAAAAAAAAAAAAAAAAAAAAAAAAAAAAAAATCAAGAATAATACCCACAATAGTTGATCAAGATTTTTTTTAGCCAAAATTATCTTAAGTTAGTTAAGTGGTCCCTAAATAAAAATAAAAGTGAGAAAACAACTAATTATCGTAGGTGGGTAGTTAAACAAAGCATTAAATATGCCTGAGAATCATGTTGGGGAATTTAGATTTTTAACTGTCACTGCAATTATCACTAGATAATTATAATTTCCTGTTAATGAAAATCCTTTAATTAAAACTATGCTGGTAAATTATGCTGAATATTTAAAAGATTAATTCAAACAATATTTTCAATCATATTTAAAACAAACATAGAAGTGTATAATCCATACAGATACCTACAAGTGTGTGTGTATATATATCTCGACATCTTTCTACTTACATCTATACATTGTTGCACTAGCTTTGAAAACATTTTAGATTTTTCATGCTATATACTTTAAAAAGGGGGGCAGATAATGGTCTACCTAGTAAAGGGGAAATCTATAAACAGGTATAGAGACTTTGAACATAAGTTATTTTACTTTCTATGTGAGTTGTAATCAAGTTCATAAATACTTCAAACTGGCCAACTTTAGTCTCCTTTCAATGTTTATTTTATTTCACTGATCACTTCATCAGCATCTGACTTGTGCATTTGTAAATCCTCTTATTATAGGTACTATTATTCTAGCAATTGTTATCCAAGCTTTGACTAAAAGAGATCAGAGTAATGTGTTGTTCACACATGATGATTGCTCAGATAATAGGAATCTGTATTTGGCTGGTTTGGATAAATCTTTATTTTTGCTGTATTCCACCCACCAATGTATCCTCTGGCCTTGTTAGAGTGTCTATTGTGTTTTGGAACATTATCAAATCTTATGCTGAAGAAGTATGCATAACCCTCTAATATACATCATGTCTGGTGCTTGCATCTGTATGTTCTTATGATTAACTCCTCTTGACCTCTTCACTGAAGTTATGACCTATCAGGATAAGATTCAACAACATTCTGGGACACAACAGACACCAAAGAAAGACTGAAAGCTGAAAGAATGTTGGGGGGAAAAAAACCAAAACAAACATGGAAATTAGTCTAAACCAACTATGCACAATGATTAAAAACCTCTTACAAAATTCAGACAAGAGGATTTCTTTTCAGAAAAAAAAAGAAAAAAAAAACACAAACACATCAACTGTTATAATGGCAAATTGTGCAGTAAGAAAATCAATAATACTAACATTAATATTAAATGACCCATACTGATGTTGATACATTGAGAAATTTTAGTCACATGATCTGAGTGTAGTTGTGGCTTTTCTCTGTGTACAAATTTGCCACCCAACTTCTATTGTACACAATTCAACTTTCCTTGCCCTGTTGTATCACAACTCCTCTTGACTATGCTCTTGTTGCTGTGATGTCATAATGCATATACAAGTGGGTGAATGAACATACAGACAATCCATTCTACTATAATCAACTCCCCAGGTTATAACTCGTATCACGGTTTTCATTGCTCGTAAAAGATACAATGTTTGTTCATATTCTTGTATATATCTATACATTCCTTTTGTTGCTGTTAAGTGATGAAGTCATTTTTAATATTATAAGATAATTCATTCCAAAGTGAACACTAAGCTGTTTGCTGGTGTTGTTGCTAAGAAGGTTAGGCAGGAACAAACAGAGTTGTTGACTGAAAACATGCCATTTGGGCTTTTACAATCCACTTTTAATTTTGCAATGCAAAAGGAAAGATTCTCATGCATCAAGAAATCTGCAATAATGTAAATAATTAAAGATTTTATCTGACAAACAGTAAAATGCAAGTAATTCAAACAGAATAAATATTTAATTTAAGCAATTTTTATCATCTACAATGAATATTACTGTTATTGTTTATACGAGTATGCCCATTTCCAAATATGAATGTTTCCTCCTCCCTCCCATGAACTATTTGATTGTTCAGGTGCCAAAATCCTGTAATTCTTCATAAGATCTCTCAAAGCAATAACAGTTGCTTGACAGTGCTCATTTTCTCTCCAAGTAGCATGTAACAGGCTGTACTAGGTTACATGGTACCAGCAGTAAAGAGTAGTACCTGACCTATTGTCAAGTGACCAAGAGGGATTGTTTTACAAAAGTTAAGACTCATATAAACCTGCAGGGAGAAATGGATTCATGCCTTAATTTTATTAATGTGAAGTGTATGCAAACTGTTCCAACCAGAGTTGGAACAGTTTGCTGAGACTATTTTCCTTGCCATTAACCATTAAGCCATTTGAAACACCTCTCAAAAAAATGAGAGGCATGTAATTAGGGAAGAAGCACTAGAGTGTGTGTGTGTGTGTGTGTGTGTGTGTGTGAGAGAAAGAGAGAGATAGAAATGTTAGTAAATTTGTGCACAAAAATTATTTATAATGAAGAGATTAATACATAAATATCAATACACATGTTCATCCTATAACCAATACTAATGTGCAGATAATTAATCATAGGACAAAACAAGCTAGTTTATTTATTTTAGATCTAATATAATTGGGTAGAAAACCTTTTAATGTTAACTGGTGCATGGGGGAGGGGAGTCTATGAATGCATGCATTTAGAAAGTAGGAGATTCCAAAATCATATCTTTCCAAAACTTATTAACACAAATGACATTAGAAACAAGGGTTTCATTATGAAATGCCATACACTTTTATCCATAAAGTGAAATGAGTAACATGTTTTAAACCAGTGATTTTCAACAGGTGTGCCATGAGAAGATCATATGTATGTTGTGAAAATTTTCAAAGTTCATTAATTAAATTATTTTTGAAAGAATTTAAAAGCACAATAGGTGTACAACACACTAAAATTAAATCCTCTTTGAATTGATTACATGTGTATATCATTGTTATAATAAATAATATATAGGATATAAAAAAAAACAAAAAAAAACAAAAAACAAAGCTTTTCTGTAATAAACAATATTAAAAAAAAAAATCTGACTAACTCAGATATCTCATTAATGTTAAATTATAATAAACAGAAAGAATATAATTTTAAAATATTTTAATTATCTTATTATTAGTTATAATAAATTGTTTTGTTTGTTTTAAAAGATAAATCATAAAAAAAATATACTCTTTTTGATGATCATAATTTAAGCATGCCACAGGAAATTAACTATAGATTCAAGTGTGACGCAAGATAAAAAGGTTGAAAACATTGTTTTAGCCAGACATTTTATTGTTATAATGTTGCTTTGTCATGCAGTTGAAATTCATTTCCTTATAGAAAAAAATGATTTCCATTAGTAAGAACCAACAGTTCTTTGTGGTTTTTTCCTATTGAGTTTTCTTGGGGAAGTTGATGTAATAATAATAAAAAAAAAAAAAAGAAAAAAAAAGAGCTATTCTAAATTAATTTTTTGTATTTGTAATCAGACTATAGAAAAAAAAAAATGAAAATTTTAAACAATATCACAAAATACTTTTCTCCAAATAAAAGTATGAAAGGCATCATATTTTTAATTATTACTATGATATACCCAAAATAAAAATGAAGAAGTCAGGAAGAAAAAAAAATAAAAATATGTACAATCATTTCAAGAACAATGACAGGTTGTACATGTAGGCATAATAATTAAAAACAACTCAATTCATAAAAACAGATTTTTGGCAAGATTTTACAATTTTACCTTCAGTAGGTTTCCAAAAACATTTATACAAATATGTTTAATGTCATGTTCATTCATTTATACAAGCATTTACTCTTCAATCTGTTTATTATTATTATTCTTTCTAATATGTAATATCTAATATGTAAATAAACAAAATTAAAACCATCGAAACCAGATAAAATTTTGAATTTTTTTTTTATTTTAGAAAAATAACATGCATATTTAATATCCTAGAACTACAAATACTAAAACCAAAATTTTCAAGATGTTAAGAATGGTACTAATACAATACAAATCATATCAAAAATATTAAGAATTTGTGCACATTGTCAATAAAAACTATAAATAATTTTAGTTGTCTAGTTCTAAAATGGTAAATGAGCCAGGGACAATGGCACAGATACTAAAATTACATGATCTCAGAAATATAGACAAAGATTTTATTTCTAAAAGTAAAAATATTGTCATCATAGGAATCATTATCTTAAGCAAAAATCACAAAACAATAAAAATATCAATGAACAACAAAGGTATGATTAGTAACTGTTGAGAAACAACAAAATCAACACTTAGTCAAACAAGGGTTGCATGAGGTAAAGTTTTGGCATCAAATAATAACTTTACTATACAGACAACCTTCTCTGCTTGAATTTCTGGAATGAGGAGTTATTTACACTATTTACATATGGACTAATATCCTCATCTTTGTTGTTAAGATCAACATTTCAGTTATTATACCCTCTGGCTTTCATCAGTTATTTGCTCAATAGATTCATTAATGTACACACACACACATCTTTAGCAAAATTTTTTGTAAAAAATAAAAATGTATAAAATTTTCTAGATTATATCAATCTGGATAACCTACAGGGAATTTTGAACTGAACCCTTTATTTAATCTACAGGAATAGAGTGTTCTCATTCTACTGCCCATGTCACATCTAGTTCTTATTCTTAGTACTGCTCTGTTATTGTATCCAAATACATACTGCCCAGCCCAGGGACTGAACTCACAATCACCAGATTCATAAATCAAGGCTTTAATTCTCTAGGCTATTGCCTAAATGTATGAAGTGGTATTCTCTGCTCTTCATAAAGCATGGATTATTCAAACCAATCCTTTCAAGTCAAACAATAACATCTACAACAATTTCTCTACATACTGTAATTTTCTAATAGCAACATTCACTGTTTTCTTTTTCACAAATGAATTCCAAGTAGGGCAAATAACATGAGAGGGGTCAAAGTTTGCATGCCTTTCCAAATTAACATTCTTCTTTGTTATATTATTATTAAATACTAGCCTACAAGTGGGTATCTAAATTAGTTTTCCATATTGTCTTTTAAAGTTGCTACATTTACTTGTAAAATGTAAACATTACAAAACACATTGAAAAAAACTGTAGACATTACTGTGATACATCCCCAAGTAAGATTACATTTTATATTTTGAAAAATTTCTTAAAGTTATTACTGTCAGGATAGTAGTTATGGGAAAGTGGTTTGCTCATATGATCATTAATTTAAGGTTTTCTTTCAGCCATCATACAAAAAATACTTTCAATCTTTTTGAAATATTAAAGCATCAAATTTTGATATATTAAGATTACAGGTAAAATTTATTTTTTAGGTATGTAATAGCACAAGCATTAAATTAATAATTTTAGTTTCATTTAAATACAAAGCTAAAATCATTCATGATTGTAGGGTTATTAAAAGAAATAAAATTCTCACAACCCTAGAGATTTGAATATAAAAGGTTTTAACATTTAAAAAAATCCTCAAAACATTTTTATAATTGAAAGCATGATTTTTTATTTACACTATTTACATTGTTTGGACTACTGTCCTCATCTTTATTGTCATATACATAATGTTTCATCCATTGTATGCTCCAACCTTCTTCAGGTCATATTTTTTGCAATTTCAAACCAAAAATTTATAGCCCATGGGCGTAGATTGTTCTAGTTCCACGTGCCATGCCTTTTTGGGATATATCAGTTAATTCCCTTTAGTAACTCAACTCTCCAAGTTTTTTTCCCTCTGCTGTCGCCAGGTATTGAACTCACAACTCTTTGAGTCAAGTCACTTTTTGGATTACTCGACCAACACTTTTATCCACTGTTATCTCATGTGCCCTTGTAGACAGATATGACTTTTTATGTTATGAAATATACAAAAAGAAGACTCATCTGATATGACAAGCATACAGTTTCAAAAGTCACTTTTTCATGAGCCAATTTAGGAAAAGGTAATGGTCAATAACAGTATTTTGAGAATAAATCTTTGTTTTAAGAGAGTTTTGATAGCATAATGGCGAATTGAGTCAACCAGTCAAGAGAATCAGAGTTGGTTGTGTGTGGTGCAGTAAGCATCAGGAGTTACGTCCTCTTCCACAATTGGTTATTGAGAGAGGACATTCTACTTAGAGTCGGTGGCACTGAGAAAATTTGCATACAAACAATAGTGGGCAGGTATTAGCCAATATTCAGCATGGATATGAGATTCGGAGAGCTGTATAACACCAGCTTTTTCTCAGTCGCAGAGAAGCGCTCTTGATGTGTGGACTGTCAGAATTTTGTGTTGCAGTACCAAATTGGAATTTTGAATTGGAGTTGGAATTTACATTGACATAGCAAACAAGACAAGATGAACACTGATAGACATAATTTAAAAAAATAATTTCCTAACTATAATGCCAAGAATAGACAATTGAATCTTAGAATTTTGCCTTAAACATGATACTCTTTACAGTTTTCTCTTTAGAAATGAAACTATGAATAAAAGAAGCATTAATAGATAAAGAAATGAGAAGTTCCTTACCGGATCAGATAGCATGGTTCGGACGTGAGCAGTGAGGGCCATAATAACAAACCAATTGAAAAGAAGTGCATTACAAAACGAGTACATCTGAGATGGACCTGGCAGAAGAATGACACACATAACGGTAAACTCCGCATAAGCCACTAACAGCCAGGTGAAAACGGCACAAATGATGCCGCACACATCCTTCACACACCACAGGTATACAGTATGATAATGGAGTCCAAACTTGTTGCAGGTCTGGGTACAGTCAATTATTTTAACCCCCTCCTCTACAGGAACTGGGGGCAGTTCATTCATCTTCTTAGAGTCATTACCTGGCAATTCCCTGCAATAAGAAAAAAAAAAAAAAAGAAAATAAATCTATGCTAAAATTTAAATGGAGACAAAAATAGCAAACACTCGTTTTAGATAAGTCTTAGTAAATACAATTATAAAATATACAGGTCAATAGACAAAGTTTGTATAACTCAATCTGTTCCATCAAAATAAAATCCTAACAACACTTAAGTTGGGAGAGAGAGAGGTGACATGAAAGTAGACTGCCACAGTAACATATTTGGTTCTTTATATTGGTAGAGATATGGTTGCAGTGAGCAGATATTTTCTGTTTGATCCATCTTTTTTTCAAAGCAATGCTCTTTTCAGTCAATCCATTTATATTTTTAATACAATGTTATCAAGGAGTGAAAATATGAACAAACTCATATTGGACAGTGAATTTAGAAACACAACCATAAAATACATTTTAGGTTTTAATTACAGTATAGATGGTTTATGTTTTGTGTCTTAACAAATGGTTTAAATTAACTCTTTCTAGCCAAACATGATTTATTGTATTCAGTTTCCTCCATGAAAAAAAAAACAAAGACATTAATAAGTAAAAATGCCTACCATATAACCTGAGCTTTAAAGAGGTTAACTAGTGTAGCAAGCTAACAAATCAAATTTAAGTTAGCTTAAAACTGGTAAAATTTAGAAATAAATTAAATCAGGAAAGGATGAAGCTGCTAAACTTAGGCTTTTAGTGTGTGTGTGTGTGTGTGTGTGTATATTATGTATATATATATATATATATATGCATGCACATACACTAGTTGCAATAAAATAAAAATCAACATTTAGAAGGTAGTTTCTTTTTTTTTGTTGATCCAATGAAAATTACGAATTTTATACAGTTGAGGACATGCTGAATTGTAGTGTGTAATTTATTTGATTAAAATAAGCAGTAGCTTCAATAACAATTTTATCAGTTTGTTTGATATAATAAAACAGATGATCCTACAAAGAAAAATCCATAAGGTTTTTTTTTTGTCAGTTTAAGTCAAACTGAAAGGAAAATCTTTCCTATGTTTCATAAATATTGAAGGAAAAAATTCATTGTGTGTGATACGTTAGGCCTTGCATTCCCTTTAAGTATAAAAGCTATAGAAATAGTTCTCAAGAACTACTTTGCTGTTTAATAATTCTTTTGATTAATTACATTGAAAATTTAAATGCAAAATATCACCTTTTTCATCAGCTGTTAAAATAGATCTGAATAATTTTAAATATCACAAGAACCAACCCAATAGAGAGTGATAGTTTCATGCAAGAGTCTTGGCCATCAGAGGTAATACTCTCAAGTATCTGATTCACCTTCAAAAGTCTGACTCTGCCCTTCTAAGAACTCAGACTTGTCTGTTCAAACTCCTTGACACACCTTAAGAGTAATGGAACGAGTCAGCCATTAAGAGATCTTCATAATCATGTTGGCTTTGGCATTTAGACATTTGTCTCTCAATATGTGCCCTTTACGGCCAGTTGATCTGTAGACTCATAAAAATTCATGCTACTCTATAAAAATAATTTTTTTTGGCCTGAAATCAAGTCTGAGGAAAAATAAAATTTTTCATTCTCTCATGGAATTCTTTCCACAAAAAGATAAATTCTTCATTATACCTAACAAGACAATCTTCACTACAAAAGGGATCTTTTGTAGAAAAATTAGACATGTAATGTAATGATATGCAAGATGTCTGACAGCAAAACTAATTTGTAATATTTGAACTTAAAATGTTTATTCAACAAAATTATGTGAGTGTGTCTAAACTAAAATATTACATTGGAAAAATTAATTCTGTGTACTATTATTAATCTTATGTATGAAGACTACTAGGAAATATTTGTAAACATTTACAGCTGTTGATTATCAATTTTATGAGTCTGAAAAAAATTGAAAATTACAAGATAAAGGCATTTTGATTTAGTCTAGAGCAACTTTATCATTTGCATCTAATGACCATGAATAAAAACTACATCAAGTGTTAGCAGATGTTCATAAAACATTGGATAGTCTAATTACATAGAAAATTAGAATGTAGGCAAAAAACAAAGTAGAAAAAATTATCAGTCTCACTCTTTTTGAACCATCTGTTCATATGAAATAAAATTTAAACATTTTTACAAATTCTATTATCAAATGAATGAAAATTATTTAAAAATGAAAATTAAAAACAATTCACTTGTCTGAATTTCTGGGTATTATAAGCCTAATGTCTTCAGCAACCATTTTTACCAGTGCTCATATTGCAATTTTTGCTGTTATCATCTCATGTTTTTACCAGAGCTCATATTGCAACTTTGTTGTTATCGCTTTTCTCTGGCACTCCTTATTACTGGTTCCCATATTGTATTTATTTTTATGCTTGGTCAGTTCAGGAGATTTTTGTGGCCTAGCATATGTGCTGATTCCTTAAGTTTACAAATTTTCCAATGGTGTTCCTTGTCTATGATCTCAACTTGATCCCACAGAGGGCGGTGATCTCCCTTTTCTCTCCATATGTGGTCAGCCATGCCTGATTTTTCCACTTCCTCTTGTGTTACAGCTTTCTGGTGTTCGTGAAGCCTTACCTTGAGGGGGCAGCCTGTCTCCTTTATATTTCTTTTTGCAGCTGCACGGGGATAGCGTACACACAGTCCTTAGTCATGTTCTCCTCTATGGGGAGGTGGGGGTCTTACTCGGGAGAGATATCTGTGAAGTGTTGTCAAGCTTTTGAAGGTTGTCCTGATGTTATATGGATCACAGCTCCTTTGTATTTTCTCTGATAACCCCTTAACATAAGGTAGGCAGATAATAGCAAAAATTGCAATATGAGCACTGGTAAAAATGGTTGCTGAAGACATTAAATTCACTTGTCATTACAAATTATGATATGTTCATTTTTTTTTTCCAGTTGTAAATGGAGATAATGCTAATAAAACATGAATAAGATCATTTGATTGAAATTATTTTTAAAACAAATTATTTTAAGTTTTTGAACAATGAATAAATGCACAAAATATAAACTAATGAAGCATCAATTAAAATTTACTGTATTCAATCCATTTTCAAGTTATTTAAACAGATTTCAAACTGTATCACATTCACTGAATTCGTTTCATGAAAACCAATTGTTTTCTGAAAAAATAAAGTAACAGCAAGATTTGAATCACAAACCATTCTTTTAGAATAGTATTATTAATTACACCACCCAGTGAGGAGAAGCTTTCATATATATGTTCAGAATAAGAAAAAAAATTTCCCATGAAAACAAAAAAGCTCCAATCAATTTTGATGCTAGAGTTTCAAAAAAAAAAAAAAAAAAAAAAAAAATTAAATAAAGGAATTAGTAGATTGCATGGATACTTACCTAACCTTCTTTTGAAAATTGAAAAATCATTGCGGGAAAAAAAAATAAGGAAACTGGTTAACAAAAAAAACAAAATATTCACTTTGTTCTTTGCCTTTGTGAATATAGTCAATTTCAATTTATATGCAACAGCAGCATGTAATACAATTCACTTTCTCTTTTAAAGTATCTTAATATCTAGGTTTTTGCAACTTTGTCACTTAAGTATCTATCTTGTAAGAATTGAAAACTTCCTGCTAAATATATTGCCAACAACAATGTACCACAAATTTATTTTGTAACAGTCTCAAATTATCTTTTCAAAAAGCTGTAGCGTCCAATGTTTTCAAAAATTGAGTTTAAGTTTTTGACATGTTCAAGATAAAACAAAAACTTTTTATAAATAATTAGAATCATTTTAGTTAGTTTGGTTATGCAAATACAAGTTTTATTAATAAAGCTTTGGTTTGAGAAGAACCAATATACACCATGCATTGCGCAAGCTGTTTAACAGAAAAATGAAAACAAATGCGGCTTTTACTAGGACACATATTGCAGATACTACCATTATGTATATAGCGATGGATAAATTGTCTAAATTACAAAAAAATGAAAATGACATCTCATTTTAACAGATATATTTACCAAAATTACACAAAAATACCATGAAATACTAAAGAGTAAATTGGCTTCAACCACAGCCTCCAGATGACTTTGGGATCTCCTGCAATTCTTCTTTTTAAGTTAGTGAATGCTGCTATAATCCTTGCCTTCAGTTCATCTTTGGTGTTACAAGGAGTTTTGTTGGTTACTCACTCAACTACACCCCCACAAATTATAATAAAGGGGTTTAGTCTGGGGAGTTAAGTGGCCAGATGTAAGGGGGGGTGATGGGGGTCACAGAAATTGTCTGACAGCTATGACTGGGTTTTGCTTGTGTGGCATGGTGCAAAGTTTTGTTGCAAGACACGGTCTTCCAGCAGCCACCCTCTTGACCCAGGGCAATAGTACCTCCTCAAGGCACCTGATGTAGGCCTCTGTGTTGAGTCTGTGGCCCTGTAGGAAAATGAATGGAAGCATAATGTCATCATCACTAGTGATCACTCCAAACACCATGATGTTGACTGGATATATCATCCAGCTCTTTCCAAATACTCTGCACGGTCTTCAGATTGACACCCAAAAATCCTGAAATGTTTGTATTAGAGCTTCTGGCATGAATGTCAAGCAGTACAGCATGCCATTTCCAAATTTCTGGTGGAATGAATTGTGCCATGGTGTTTTTTTTTCCTAACTGACCCTATTATACTGTGCAGTTGACAAAAATCAAAAACCACACAGGAAATTAAAAATATAAAATGGTGACAATTTACCCATTGCACCCTATAGATTAAGCTGAACTAATTTCTTCATCTTTGTTGTTTTAAACTGATGTTTTTGGCACATACTCATGCATTTCTAAAAAACTCTTGATATTGTTTAGAATATAGAAAAGAATCATGAAAACATTTTCATGAGTTTCTAAAGTAGAAACCATTTTAGAACAATATCTGTTCTATACTGGAGCAGAAATATTTTGCATAAAAACTTAAATGGAAGTATATTAAGTCATGTGATGACATCAAAATATACTGCTGGCAAGCTCTATTTTTTGTAACCTTGAAAAGAAGATTAATGA